CTCTATTTTTGCTTTCTTTCTTTTCGTTGTTTTTCTTTTTTTTTTTTTTTTATGTAGAATACTGCGTTTTATGTTTTTACAATGTCCCTAATTATATCGCCATTATTACAATTTTATAGTGTCCCTATTATAGAATGCTATGGAAATTTCACAAAATAATCATAAACTTTCGAACGTAGGAATGACACTATCAAAATTCATTCATTGATTCATAATCAATTATCTGCACCAGTTTTCAATGCAATGGTTAAATATTTCTTGTACGCAATAAAATTAATATCTCATAAATTCATATTTTTCAATGTAAATCAAGTGTGCTTTCCAGACGATGTAAGAAAAGCAAAGTGCAATAATATGGCATTTATAAAATGTTCATGCTTTTACGACGCTTATCATCCTAGACATTATAATGTTCTTTTGCAAAATATTAGTTATTAAAAATTGTAACGTTCGACGTTGTATTTTATATTGAAATTTTCTGTGACATTTTAAATAAATTAATAATTAGGAATACTATAAAAATGTAAAACACAGTATTCTACATAAAAAGACAAAGAAACTTGAAAGAAAAAAAAAAAAGAAAACAAAAGTAGAGATGGTACAAAACAACCCTGGAACCTCCGGATATGAATCCACTACACTATCAGTTTCGCTGCTACGTTACTGCTTGCAGATTAAGAAAAGAGTTACATCTCTAGAGTATATCTGTAGAAGATTGAAACATTAAATATCTCTGTAAACAATGACTATTGACTGAAATGCTCGGACATAGTCAAATTATATTTGCTTTGGAATCGACAGACCAAATTTCATTAAAATCGACGACCCAATAGCTGTGACTTCTTCTTGTTAACTGATCGCTAGTACCACTCCCTCCACTGCATTGATCTCCCCACTACATTGAATCGTAGCGGTAGTGCTAGCGATCAGGAGAGTGGGGCCAAGGACCGCCAGTTAGCCGGCTCTGATTTAGGTAATAATCAAAATTCCAAAGAAAATTTAATCTCCTTTATCCAAACCGTGAAATTTATTTTCTCCGTGTATATCTTCTGAATGAAAAGGAGCGAATGAAAAGCAGTCGTGCTGAAAGTACGTACATATGTGTGTACGTACCTGGTGAATAATTCTGGAAACCAAACCATGAGTGTGTAATAACTGCTGGTAAGACCAAATTGAATTCCGCAAGCGAGCAGTGTGTTTCTTAGGTACGGTGATTTGCAGAGAGCGGTCGTTAGATCTCGTACCTCCTTCAAAAGTACCTTTAGATCCTTTCGTTTGTGCAACTTCAACGACCTCGTGCTCTTGTCTTTCGTTTTCTCTTGCAGCGTCTTCACCTTTGAATGGAAAGAGGCAAATCAACGATTTTCGACGATTTTCAATGCTAGAATTATACCAAGCTGCGGACTTACGTGCTACGTTTGTAAACAATTTGTCTCTAACGAGCAAAAGCAAATGTTTGAAATTCGAATTCCGTGTAATTAATCTCAGCGATTGGAGAAACGCGAAATGGAAAAGTAAAAGGGGGTTTACCGGGTAAGAGTCGGGGTCTTGGCCAGTGTTCTGCGCGTAGATCCATTTAAATACCTCGAGGGCGGCCTCCGTTTCCCCGCATTCCAAGAGAAATTTCGGACTCTCTGGGAACGCGAACAGCCACAGACCCAACATTATCGAGGGTAGGGCGCACAGCGCCACGAAGAGATTCCACGACTTGAAGTAAAACGTGTCCGAGACGTACATGAAATTCATCGGTATGATCAGCCATGCGATCACTGAATAATAAAAACGGAAAGAAAGAGAGCCAATTAGTAAAGCAATTCAGATTTCAGATTCAAACGCAGATTCGAATTTCAGTTCCAATTCAAATTCGAGTTTGAGTTTAAATTCAAATTGAAGGTCAAATTTTTCTTCCACGCCCCGTGTCACATTGGGCTGGTTATATTACGGGATCGTTGAACACTTTCACTTGTTATTTAATCGGATAGATATACATGATACACTTTTCATTTTATTCCCGATATTATGTCAAAACTTGTCAAATAACGAATATAGCAGACTTTGCACGATATGTTTATTACCGTACATATCACTTATATTAGCAAGGAAATCAGTATAATTTGAATTATATTCTGATGATTTCAACCCTATCTGTACAAACTTAACAAGACATTAATATTAATAGATGGATACTCGCACGAAACAAATATGCAAAAGCTAGTCTTTTAACTTTTTGATTTGAATTCAGTTCACCAAAAATAATAATCGCGAGTCTTCCATATTTCAATTGTTAATTAAATATCTCGATCGATATCTCGCAGGTGAAGTTAAACCGATCGAGCTTTCGAATTTGAATTATGTCCGCGAATTACATCCTCTTTAGAGCATTCGCTTGGAAACACTTTGAACAGAGAAAGAAGAATATGAAACTTACGTGGCAACACTATGACTCCGACTGTCCAGAACATTTCCATCCAACAAAGGCATCTCTCGCGATACTTTGTCGGCTGAAATTCCCCTAAATACGGAAAACAAATTCCCATAGCTCCCGTAACGCTGTATGTATAAAATAAAACGAAACGATCAAAATAAAAACAAAAACGGAAAGAAAAAAAGAAAAGTAAAGTAAAGAAAAGAAAAGTCTAAGGACGAGTTGGAAACGCGTGATAGAGAATACACACGCGTGTATACTTACGCAAATCCGTTCAAGAAACGGAACACCAGGAAGATCGAGAAATATTGGACAAATGAGGAAACGACGCCCACGAGGCCGTCCATTAATAAAGTAGCGATTAACACGACTTTTCTTCCTTTGGTATCAGCCAGGCACCCCCATATGTAAGAACCAATCACCATCCCTATATAATAATACATACATACAATTACAATTATATAATTATAAAACTGCAAAATTATTATAAAATTACAAAATTATTATAAAATTACAATTATAATTATACAATTACATATAATATTTCTATTAATATTATTCACAGTTGTACAGTTGCATATAATATTTCTATTAATATTATTCACAGTTGTACAGTTGCATATAATATTTATATTAATATTATTCACAGTTGTACAATTGCATATAATATTTATATTATTATTTATTATTATTAATATTATTATAGTTATATAATTACATATAATATTTATATTAATATTATTTATAATTGAATATAATTATATATATAATTATATTTAATTATAAAATTACAATTGTAATTATATAATAGGATAATCGTGATTAAATATAATTGTAATTATTCCATTAGGATGAACTTGAAATGCATGGTTTTCGATTTTCAAGTTTCTAAAGTTTCCATTTGGCCAAACATTTGGTCTTATTGACCAATTGACAATTCAAGTTTTGTTCATGGTGTAGGTAAGGTACTGGCGAAAGAATTACGGAAATTAAAAGTGGCACTCGATTTCGACTTGAAGCGCTCATTGTCAGCGATAAAGATTCGAGTAGAAGAGCGCGATATGAGTCAGACAGTTTCATTCGTCAAGAGATATACCGGACGAACAGATATTTTTCCTAAAGTGTAATTATAACAATAAATCTAATCAACGTGCTCCCTCGTGCTTTAAGAGTCCGTTTATTTATGTATTATGTCTATTTGAAGAGTCTCGTTCGATAAAAATTTTAACTAAATTTTATCAATCATTTTCTGGAAAGGCAATTAACTAATCGAGATTGAAAACACCGCGATAAAGCATTTCCTTTCTTGCGGAAACAGAAAATTAAATATTCAGAAACGATTTTCCACCAAAGAAAAAATTTCTGTTTCCTTCGAACAAATTTAATAGTTGTTTGATTTGACTGACGTAAAAAAAAAATAAAAAAAAAAAGACAAACTTTTTCAAAAGATGGATGGGAAATTTACAAAAGGAGGGACCACTATTTACAAATGAAAAGTCTGATCAAGGAGTACGGGAGAGAAAAAAGATTGGGAAACCGCTGCTCTAGAGAGAGTTGTAAATAAATTTTTCAAACGAAAAAAAAAAAAAAAATCGAGACAGATTTGGTAGAAAGATTAGCTTTTGAAAAATCTCACCCAGCATTGGAGACGCTGTCAGCCAGCCCTTCGCGGTGGAATCCATTTCCAGATCGCATTGTGCTGCTGGTAACACGAACGAAAGTATCGTGACTCCAATGGCGGTGTCCATATAAATTAAACCGCAAATTGTCAGCAGCATGTAATGAAACTTCCCGAATCCTGACCGGTAAAATACAATCTCGTAAATGTTTGTTCAGAGTTTGAAGAAATTGCAAGGAATTATTTGATCATTTTATTGTTGCAATTAAGAAATTAGCTGATCTCTGATTCACGCTCTAAGCCCTCCCTCCGTTGTAAATCTTTCAAGAGTCAACAAATACCCGCTGAAAATGTCTTTCATTCCTTTTTTCTTTTTCTCTCTCTCTCTCTTATGCGCGTTCATGATGACACTACGAATGATAAGGCGATTGTTTGCAAGATTTTTACGGCACGTAATTTTAACGTTACGATTACATCTGGCTCGAAGTAAGCCTATTTTCGCGAATAATTTACGGTTTGAAACTCGCGTGTCGCGCACAGTCAAACACACGTATTAAAATTTTTTTTGCGACCGTTTCATTACGAGTGCTTCGTTGTTACTATAAAAGGAAAGAAAAGAATCTCCCTGACTTTCTGGTGTGTATGGAAGTGTCAACGTCTTGCGAAATGATTAATTCAGTTGTTAGTTCAATGATTAATTTACTTGATTCTTCTTCTCGAAAACACTTTGGACAAATGTTTACACAATTTTGGTCATACAAATCGAGCCAGGGGTATCTTTCCAACGCATCAGACAACAATCGTGTCTTTGAATTTTGAATTCAATCTTTCCTCTTGTATTTCGTTCGTCGAGAAGAAACGGGCGCTAACTGGCGGCCTGCGAGCCCTTGCCCCACTTGAATTAATGCAATGGAGGGGGAAGCGCTAGCGATCAGGAAGGTAAGAAGGGGGGGGGGGGGAGGGGAGGGGCCCGCGAGCCGCCAGTTAGTCCTAAAACTTTTCTTTGCTTTCGACACGAAGAAATTGGGGGAAATAAAACACGGACTCTTCTTCATCTTCGTATTTTACGATCTTGTCATTGAACTGTGCCATCGGCGTGTTTAATCGCGATTAATACTAGAATTATCAACTATCAATGTAGCAGATACGTATGTGCACAGTGTATTTTAACGATTTCATGAAAATCATTTTGTACTAGTAAGGTAGTATCAAGTAAGTACAACTGGTAGCACAATAGGCTTGACTCAGCTGGCTCAGATTAAATTAAATTGTAATTAAATTCAGACAGAAGATTCAACGGGAAGTTAATTCGGTTTTCAGTTCGAGTCGTAATAATCATTCGCAACGGAATATTGCCGATTCAGATAGAGAGAGAGAGAGAGAGACTAGAAATCAGACAGACTTGTTTTCGTGTGACGGTGATATATTAATCAAGATCGAAGGTGCGTATTTATGACCGAGCTTTCAACAACTCGATGATTAATAACTCTTTCTTATATCTCGAGATAATAACGCGGGTGCAAGCGCGTATTAGCGTGTTGCCGTGCAAGACGTGGGGATTTACCTGTTACGGTGATTGCATGCTCGAAATCGGCACCTCCGTCTGCCAAGAAGTCGAGCCCTGTCAAAAACCAAAAGATTTATTATCGTCTTGAAACGCCTCTTGTTTTCTATCGTTATACGCGCCGAGAGATCGCGATAGTATATCAGCGTTGTTTCATCTGTTTCGGGCACGTGTTTGCCATGGAATTTTTACCGTCAATCAGACGATACGAAATATACCGAAGTTACAATTTTTCATGCTATATACGGCACGCTAGGAGATACATACGTAGCACGAAAATCGCAACTTTCTAAAAACCATCAGATTTTATATAGAAAATTGATACTGCAACCATCGTCGAAGTAACTTTTGAAATATAGTTGGCAATCTCTGCCAAATAACATTGTCGCGTGAATCACCCGATATAGTGGAACGATTTTCTTTTCTCTTTCTTTCTTTATTTTTTTTTTCTTTTTTTGTTTTTTGGAACAATTCTGATTCATATTTTTATTTACAATTCGAACGTCTGACTTGTTATCTTGACGACGATGTAAACATTTATATCCCAATGCAGGAAACTATTTGCAACAGAATCTTCTTGCAAGATTTTCATTTTATTCCTACGATCGCGGATACGTTGTGAGGAAAAAAAATCTTATCTAGCGAATAAATGTAGCGTTTCGTACAACGTGATTGGTCGTTAATGTTACTTTGACAGAGATCGCCAACTATATTTCAAAAGTTACTTCGACAATGGTCGCAGTATTATATTTCTATATAAAATCTGGCATGAAAAATTGTAATTTCTGTAGTATACATAGTATCCAACATCGTCGCGTACAATTTCCGAAATAAATTTCCAAAGAATTCATACGAAAGATCGAAAACGAGAAAAAAGGGCGAAGTGATTGTTCAACGTTTCTTCGATGGAGACCTAGAAATAATACGTAAAATCGGCGACAGCCCAAGAATTCCATTGCAGGACACGTGGCTCCTAATTGAAACACCAATTAGTTTGTTATCTTTATCATAGCGAATATCAAATCGATACGATCGAAGCGAATTCGATTCATTTGATCGAGTGATTTTATATTAATAGCAACAACGATATCGATCGGCGTCGATGATATCGTAATGACAAAAACAACGATAGCAAATGTACAATGTATCGATAGTATTAATAGATACCGATCCATCTGTTCTATAATACGCGGATACCGACGATTATACATGGATCGAAAGATACTCGTAGATTTAAGGGGGTATTCTAGTGTGAAGTGCAAGTTTTTTAACTTTGTCTGGAAATTTTTTGCAAAGAAACTATTATATGCACCTTTTTGCAGTGAAATTGACAGGGATTATTTGCACGTGTTTCAACGACGTTTTAAAATTTTTTGGAACAAAAAAAAGTTAAAATTAATGGTACTGAAATATAGTCAATTTTAGAAAAAGATTGTCTCACGGTGTCCATGATTCCGGCCATTCTGGTTGTCTAAAATAAAAAAACGTGATAGTTTCTTAATTAGTATGGATTTGGCTATAGCCGAAACTAGAACAAAAGAAAAATGTCGGTAATTAAAAAATTGGCGATACTTTGAAGTTCGATTATCGATTTTTGCACGTTTTTGTTAAACTTCGGAGGCCTAAAAAAAATATAAAAAATAAAATTTTTTGGTTGATTCTGGCAGGGGCTATAGTCACACGTATACTAAATGCGTACTTAAAATTTTGAGACAATTGGTCAAGTAGATTTCGAGATCTCATGGACACTATTCTGAAAAACAGTTTCCTGAAAAATGCCTGTACTTAAAGTTTAGTATTTGCGGTAACAATGACGCTGGTCGTCGCGTCCTTCAATAATAATTTCGTTAATTTTAAGAATTCACGTGTAAGTTTCCACAGATGTATCTTTGAAATTATATCCTTTAAGAATATGCAAAAAAAAAAAAAAAGAAAAAAAGAAAATCGATTTTTTTAAAATTTCACACTATAATACACCATTAATCTACAAGGAATCGAAAATAGTCTACGTAGAATCGAAAGTAAATGTGTAGTAAATTGTCGGCGTGTATCGCGGATATTTGGAATGATTCGGTGGAAAATGTACCCATGATTGAGGATTACGTTGCGAAGGTAATGCGGGTCGGTCTCGCGCGAGGTGATGAAGTCAGGTGGCGTCGGTGAGAATTCGGGACTGTGGGGGACCCCGGTCGCCAAAGTGCAGCACCCTCTGTTCCTCGTGCGTGTTCCACGGTTTTGTCCTCGCCTGCAACCACCGTACGCCACGCTCATTGGTGAACACTCGGTGGTATTTGATCGCCGTTTTTATCGCCCCGTGCGAATATCGACGATGCCCTTTTTTTTTTACTTTTTTCCCTTTTTCTCTTCACCGAGGGACGAACTCTGTTCCTCCTCAAAACTTCTTCCTCCTCACTTTTAACTTTTTCTCTTCGCTTCTCTTCTCTTCTCTTCTTTCTTTTTCTTTTCTTTTCTTTTCTTTTCTTTTCTTTTCTTTTCCTTTCGTTTCTTTCGATCGAACGATCAATCGATCAATGCGGATTTCTTCGATGAAAATTTCTGCTAATTTCTGGAACGAAAGAAACGACAAAACATTTCACTTAGGGTTGTTTCTTACGATCTTCGTGACCGATTGTCCGCGACGTGTTCAAAACAACACGATTGACTTGGCGGAGAGTCAAGGAAACGACTGTCCAAAAAATCGATCGCGCCTCGGCATATATGTCTCTCCTCTCGTTTTGGTTGTTGGTCTTCTCTTCAGATAAGATACAAAGCTCCCTCTCCTCTCTCTCTCTCTCTCTCTCTCTCTCTCTCTCTCTCTCTCTCTCTCTCTCCATCTCTTACCTGTCCGATAGTACATATCTCGCTCTTTGTTTCCTTTTCTCTCTCCCCCCCCCCCCACCACTCCATCTGCCAGAAAAGAAACCTGAAAATTTTCATCTTTGACAATTGCACGCAACGAGGAGAAAGAGAGATTTTTAAAACGTTTTCTTCGCAAAGTCCATTTCGTGGTTCTGTTTACGCAGGGATTACTATCCAAGCATGCAATTACACACATGTATGCGCGTATGCACGTGTAGACGTTGCGTTTAGAGGAATTTTGCAATATAATTGTTCCCGCCACGTTACGATGATCGCGCGACATTCTACTCGATAAGACAGTTGAAACAGGTATCAACTTGGCGTTCCTTTAATTGCTTTAGATTAAAATGGTTAGCTGGTTTACTCTTACGACTCTTGCTTCGTCACGTATGTAGTATGTAAAATTTTTGCTGTCAAAACTCCGACCTACTCTCAATTTTTTTTCTCCAACCCCTGGCGCAGCCGGCAACTGATTCACGCGTGACCAAACCGTGTACAGTAATAAATTTATTGCTCGCTTTGCCCTGGTTGTAATATGTTTTAAACATGTTATAAATTATTAGAATTATAACGTTAATTTTATATGATAATTTTTGTAATATAAAATTACTTTATTATCTACTATATTTTAAAATTATATTACATATATATAATTTTATAATATAAAACGTATTATAAATTGTAATATAATTATAATATTAATCTTATATTATAATTTTTACAATATAAAATTATATTTTAAAATCATATTACACCAAAAATATATATAATTTTATAATATAAAATATATTATAAATTATTAATTTTATATACTATAATTTTTGTAACATAAAATTATATTATAAAATTATTTTATCATCTATTATTATATTTTTAAATTACATTGTATATGTAATTTTATAATATAAAATATATTATAAATTGTAATATTAATTTTATATTATAATTTCTATAATATAAAATAATATAATTTATAATATATTTTATATTTTAAAATTATGTTTAATTTTATATTTAAAAATATTTTTTTACATTGTATTAGAAAAGACCTTCAATCTCAATAACTATGTACTTTAGACTCTATTTGGTGTAATACCTTTTTAGAATTCAACGCTTTATCCGAATTCCGGGAAGAAATATTAACTATTCTATTTAAAAAACGTGACCTTTATATCTTGATAAAAAAGCAAAATAACATACAACTGATTACAATACTCTATGTCCACCTGGAAGCCATGCAACTTCTGTCTGAAACATTTTCTCGTACAACGAATATTTTATGAGTCATTTGATGTCGCCACGTTACGAGACTCACCCAGTATAATTTATAGTTTCGAGCTGACGATAAAAAAAAAAAAAGAGATTGTGCACGTGCATGAATGTACCCAGATTGCATCGATATTGCATTTCAACGTTTGCCAAATTTAGTCGATCCTAAATGGATAAAGGATAAGAATTTGACGAAACGGTTAATTGGAAGTTCCACCTCGGATCGTTCACTCCTCGCATTATTGTACATAATCGGTTGTAGTCGGTTGCGATCGGTTGTAGTTGGTTGTAATCGGTTGTTCTAGGAGACTTCAAAGTTCAGATTTACGACATATACGACACGCGCGAGAGCTACCGCCTTTGCACTCCTACAGATATTGTCCGATACAAAGTGGCTTGCTTCGGTAATTGGAGATTTCGAGAGTCTGAGATTACCAATCATTCGGCAGCCGTGTGCTTTTCCCACAAGCACGACTCGTACGTAGCTGGTCCCCTTGCGTCGTTGAAAGAGATAAACATACACACACTTCGAAGTAGGACAATGTCGTCTCAAAAATTGTAAGATTCAAAACACTACTCAACGTACGTCCGTCTGTGTTTGTAAAAGATGACACTTCTTCCGAATGAAATTCCCAAATAAAAGGCACAACAACTTTTCGGCCAACCAAAAGTGTTTTTAAAAATTGATTTCTTTTTAAAAAAGAAAATCAATGCACGCAACAGAAGCCGAGAAATCTCGTACGCATGGAAGGATGAATCGTTATTTACAACGATACGGTATTATTTAAAACGGCAAACAACAATATCTTCAGGGTCTGTACGCGCGATTTTGTCCAAACAGCAAGATTTGCAATAGTTCAACAAAATGTTTGCAGTCGCGAGATTCGGTTAGATGTTAGGCGAATTAACGTGTTTGCCACGCTGGCAACCTATCGTATATATCACCCTTGAAGCATTACATATGTATATATGTGTATATATACGATTACTTTGCATTCTTTCTTGCCTAATGGTACTTCTCACAGCTTTGATTTAATGCTGTATTTTACGCCGAGATTAAAATTATTTATGGCGTTTGTCGCGTGGAAATGAATATCACACGTATCATGTATCTCGATATAGTTACATAATAACCTGATTCGAAAACGAAATTTTGGAAAACTATTCAAAACTATGATTCTATTCGACCACGTGACGCTGTCGAGTTTTAGTTAGCTAATGAAATGAAACACAAATTCCCTTTTTCCTAAAAGTTGGTTTCCTTAATCAAATTTTATCTTTTTTATCAATTGCTAATGTGAGAGCAAACTACCAAATCTGCAATTCACTTGGACTCAATTTTAGTTTTAGTTAGCTAATGAAATGAAACACAAATTCCCTTTTTTCTAAAAATTGGTCTCCTTAATCAAATTTTATCTTCTGTATCAATTATTAATGTGAGAGAAAACTACCAAATCTGCAATTCACTTGGACTCAATTTTAGTTTTAGTTAGCTAATGAAATAAAACACAAATTTCCTTTTTCCTAAAAGTTGGTCTCCTTAATCAAATTTTATCTTCTATATCAATTATTAATGTGAGAGCAAACTACCAAATCTGCAATTCACTTGGACACAATTTTAGTTTTAGTTAGCTAATGAAATGAAACACAAATTCCCTTTTTTCTAAAAATTGGTCTCCTTAATCAAATTTTATCTTCCACATCAATTGCTAATGTGAGAGCAAACTGCCGAATTTGTATTTCACTTGAATTCAATTTTAGTTTTAGTTAGCTAATGAAATGAAACAGAAATTACCTTTTTTTTTCTAAAAAGTTGGTCTTCTTAATCAAATTTTATCTTCCACGTCAATTGCTAATATGAGAGCAAACTACCGAATTTGTATTTCACTTGGACTCAATTTTAGTTTTAGTTAGCTAATGAAATGAAACAGAAATTACCTTTTCTTCCAAAAATTGGTCTCCTTAATCAAATTTTATCTTCCACATCAATTGCTAATGTGAGAGCAAACTGCCGAATTTGTATTTCACTTGAATTCAATTTTAGTTTTAGTTAGCTAATGAAATGAAACAGAAATTACCTTTTTTTTTCTAAAAAGTTGATCTTCTTAATCAAATTTTATCTTCCACATCAATTGCTAATATGAGAGCAAACTACCGAATTTGTATTTCACTTGGACTCAATTTCAATTTCAGTTTTAGTTAGCAATTTGTAAATTTGCAAAGTCGAGTCTTTAGTATTCTCGTCATTCGCGAACTTGATGATTTATACTTTGTTTTCACAAAAGGAAAAAGAAAAGAAAAGAAATTGAGATCGTTATCGCCAGATCGTCCCGAGCAAAGTCCTCGAATTGGAGAGATTTGTTCAGACTGTTATCGAACTGAAATACATACGCTAACGAAAGTATTTAAACAATACGTACAATAGACATGGACACAAGAATCTCCATAATATTTGTTCGCGCGCGTGTCGAGCGGTACGAGATCTGAGAATGTTTTGAGTTGTGAACTGTACATCTTTGACGCGCGCTTGTATATTAGGGTTTTTCCCTCGGTGTTAATTGTAAATATCGCGAGACAACTACGCAACTTGGACGTCGGACTAATTCTGATTCGTAAACCGAAGGAAAGCTCTCTCTGTTCCCTTTCCATCGACTTTTGGAAATCGCGGGCCCAAGGTGGGGCACAAAGGGCGGATGGTCTTGTCTCCAGTGTCTTCACACATGTTCGGGAAAGCTGATTCTATACTTCAGTCCACGGTTGAGGGCTTTGTCTGACGTAAGACAAAGCTCAGCCAGAAGGACAAGCGTTAATGGCGATAGTGGTATGGGCCTGCTAGGAGACTCAGGTCATTCAAAATATTAGGTCGAGTCATAAATAACTTTCGTTTTTTTTTATCAGACATTTATTTTGCTTTCATTAAATAACAAAGTTATATTAATTTATTATGTATTCACCACTATTACGTATGACCTTCTCCCATCTTCCTGGCAGCTTATCAATTCCTTCCTTGTAAAATGTGGTTGGTTTGAACTGGAAGAAATTTTCGACAGTCCGACTAACTTGTTCTTCAGAATTGAAGGTTTTCCCATTCAAAAAGTTTTGCAAAGAACAGAAAAGGTGATAGTCTATTTGGGGCAAGGTGGGTGTAGTAAAACTGACCATCCAAGTTCGAGAATTTTTTCTTGAGTCACCGTTGCTGTATGTGGTCGCGCGTTGGCGTGTAAAAGAATGATGTTATGGCGATTGACGAGTGCAGGACGCTTTTCATGGAGTTTTTCTTTCACTCTTTACAGCTGCTGAACACATGTATCCGCA